TACATGTTTTATTCACAAGTCAGGCCTCTGGGATAGCTGCTGTGCAGACACAGAAACACGGCAAGACATCACGCGTGGCTCTGCCATCACCGCCTTTGCAAGCCCCAGTTGCCTCCCAGCCCTCCACAGACTCTGCCTTCTGCTACCCACCAGCCAAGGGTCACTAACTCTGCCTGCCCGCTCCTGCACAGCTGCAAAAAACCAATTGCCTCCGAATACGCTTCCAGTAGCTGATCAACAGGGGGGCAATCACCACTCTGGGAGAGTGCCTTCACATCTTCAGCACTGATTGCACCGCTCTCAGAGGACGATGAGTAACTCTGCTTCACCCCCAATCAGACAGCAACAAAATCACCCGAGAACTGATTCGGCAGGTAAACTTCTGGTCTACGTAAGTCAGCTACCTGGGGCAATTAGTTTTAATTATATCCAGAATAAAAGACCTGCGAACACAGGGTTCTTCTGCAGCCTTTGTTTTCTGTAAGAAATTCTCATTTCTCTTGGCAAGAGCTCAGCTGAATCGCAACACAAGTAATGAACAATCAGCAAAAATAAATATTGTTTTGTAAATGCACTGAGGTATGTTCCAAGTTGATTAAGGGAAGAATAATCAAACAAACATCAATATTTAAGACAGCAGAAGAGCTTGAACATTCTAGAGGCGTGTTACAAGAAAAATATCCAAGTATTTCTTCTGGCAGCAATTACTTTCTAAAACCAGAAAACCATACTTAACCCATCCTCCCTCCAGCCCTCTGTTTCAAAGTCCTTCCTCGGAAGATGGCAAGAGTGAAGAAAGATTTCACCGAGTTTTCCTCCATTAGTTTGTCCACCTCTAACATTTGTAATCTTGTCCATACCCTGTAGCTGGCTAAAACCAGCTGTACTCCTTTTGATGTCTCAAGTAGCAGCACGCACCAATTCTTGGGAAGGAGAACCTCACGACCTCCTGAACTCATTACTCACCTTTTCAGCTTGGCACTCATTTGGTGCAGTTTTTTTTCTCTTTTTTTTTCACTCAAATATCTAATTAATTTGTGATTCAGCTCTAGAAGCAGAGGAAAAAATACCAGGCTCTGCAAATTAATTGCATCCACAGTTACCACTCTGCAGCCCCCCAGTCACGAGCAGGACTTTACCACTATAAGTGTATTTGGGTCTCATAGATTAATGTGTCAACATGCCCTCATTCCAGTAGCGTGGGCTCCAGAGCCTTTAAAGACATAAAAATAAGCACTTCTTGCTTCTCACCAAGAACACAGGGCTGAAGGTGAGGATGAATGCAAAGAGAAGTGCCAGAAGGTGCCCTTTTCACAGTGGCTTTATTCATGTCCTAAGTAAACCCCAATGGTGAGCCCTGCTGTATACAGTAAGCAACTAAAATTGAAGTTACAATAAACACTCACCTATGCTGGTGCAGGAAGAAGGAAAGCATGGACTGGGGCAGATAAGAAACTGTTTGGCCAAACCCCTAAATGGGTAAAAACGAAGACTTCAGTGGCACTACATCAAGTTTTACAGCATTTTAGGATCTGTCCCTCAACTTTGGTTGAGGAGGAGACCACCATTAGAAGGCTTGAAATTAGCCAAACAGACTTGAAATGGGGCATCTTCCAGCTAGTGAAAATGCTCAGGAACATTTCCTCAAGGACCCATTCAGACAGCACTGGCTGAACCGAGGCAAAGCCAATAACCGTTGGTCCTCTGGTGGCACCAAATCACCACTCTGGAAACCAGCGCAGAAATTCACAGAGCAACTGCTTTCATTTCTCTTATTAACTAGTACAGGAATTTATTCTTGTGAATAATGAACCTTAACACTGGTCCTTTATAAACATGTCCCAAAACAGGCACAATTTACCTCTAGCTGTCCCACAGCAGCTGCTGATAAATGGGCCATGTTGCCAAAGCAGGTGTAAAAATCCAAGTGATTTGGGTTCTTCACAGTAACTACTATCTAGTTGCCTATATTAATTGAGAGAGTGAGTACATTATATAAGGAGATTAGACCATGTCATATTTACAACCTCAGTGTCCCCAGCGAGAGAAATTGCTCAGCTGTTACTGCCAGTGCCTTCTTCAAACAGGAACCCTGCTGACAAGATGATGAATTCAGAACATCGTTGCCAATTAATGATTTGTAGGCAGAAGGGATTTCAATAGTTCCCATATGTTTGTGAGGGTGACTGGTATTTACATCACCTCTAATAAAAGAGTGTAGTCTGCTCTGTCCAGACACGACACTAGAGCTTGGAAAATGTCATCTTTGCAGGAGAAATTTTAATAAACAAAGCCAGGCTCTTCTGGGTTGAAAATGTTTCCCAAACCATGGTCACTAATAACCTGCTTATGCCTAAGCAAAAGCAAGCAGGGAGACTGCTTGCAACATGCACCTAAGTGATTTACAAACCAAAGGTCAGAAGTTATTTAGGTGTTTGTCAAAGCTACTCTGCAGAGTGTGTGAGCCAGGAGCATGGAGTGTTTTTCCTAAACACCAGTCAGGCTGGGGGGGGGGGAAAAAACACACCACCAAAAACCACTCCCCATGCATCTACAAGCACATAGAACCTTTCTTCATATTACTTATTCTGCTTATGGGCTACAAAGTTTAACTTTACTGTCCTAGAAAAAAATCTCATCCTTGTGAATATAACAGTACCCAAACCAGAAAGCATTTTACTCACACAGGATATCAGCATGAACTCCATACATGCTGAACGCAGACCTCCTGAATGGCCTAAGGCTGAATGTCTCCTATCAACTGAGCATCTCTGAGCCAACCAGCAGGAAACGCTTGGCACGATGACCCGAGTTAAACGCAGGACATCCAAATGGGGCCCTCAAACAGACTTTGCCGTAGGCACTCAGAGCCCAATGTCCCATTGATTTGGTGATGGAATTTAGGGCTTTCCTACAGATGAGCATTATGGGCTTTAACAGCTCTAGAGCAATTAAAGTGATAAACTCCTGCTGAGGGTGCAGGCTGTAGGTGAAGTACAAGAGTAGCTTATGTGGGTATGCCTTACAACAGAAGGGCAAGGGTACATTGCCACAAAGCATCTTTACACTTCCAAACTACGACAACAGCCCTACCCAACACAGTCAAATTGCGGGGCCAGACACTGTCCTCTCAATTGACCAAGAAAAATAAATTTAAAAACCAACGCACACCCCAAAATGGAAGGCAGAGCCTCAAATCACTAAGGTCATCAGATTGTGCTCAGCACTACCAGAGATCCAGACACTCTACAGGCACACTAGGCTCTTCAATGATACTCCCAGGTTTCTAGTTTAAACCAGTCCAGTTTTTTGGTTTGGGTTTTTTGGTGTTTTGGGTTTTGTTTGTTTTTGAGATCTTTAAGAGTGCTTTTAGATATCCCATGCTGCTCATGCAGCATGCTCACACAGCACGAGAGGGCAGGATTTGAGAGGTGACTAATGGATGTACCCCTTTCCTCCGAAAATTCTTACAGATAACTGAAGTCAGTGTCTAGCCATAGCACTCAACCAGTACACATTATTTTGGGACATGGTATTTTTAGCTATAATGAAGCAGATCCTTGCTGAACTATCTGACCCACATCCCTCATCTGTGCCAGTCTATATTTCTTCAGCTTGGGCTATATCAAACATCAAGTCCAACTCTTCTTCCCCCCTAAACAGAAGTATCTTTACTGGCACAGGAAAAGCAAAACCAATCAGATTTTGCTGTATTGACTACATCTGCAGAAAATGGAGACTATCCTGGTCAAAAAGCATGCTCCACATGCTGTTTACTAGAGGTTTCTTCAAAAACAAACATAACTACAATTTCTCCCCAAGTCAACCCTTGAAGAGACCTGAACTACATAATCTTCAGGGGCACAGTGTGTGACCAAGGACTAAAGGGTCAAGGCCACAGTTTGCTTTGGATATGCAGTGTTCTATCCTTTGCACCAGCACTGCAAACACCAATAAAGTGTCTGGAGTGAGGTGAAGAAGAAACGCAACACCGACTTCAGTTGGAGCAGAATCCCTCTGCCTTCCCCACAGGTTATCTATTACTAAGTGGCCGCAAGTACAAAGCAATCAAGATGGGACTGATGACCAACATCTCATAATTTTGCAAAAAGCAAACTGCACTGAAACCTTTTTTCTTTCCCCTTCTCTTATGTCCAAAGAGGTTTTAAACTACCCATTACGTATTTACAACAGAAGGGCAATTTTATAAACAAGCACATAATACAGCAAACCATAAAATGAGATTATACACTCTTAAGACTATGTTGCACTTCTTCAAAAGTATTCTTTTTTAGGTCTTGAGCTTCTGATACCCTAGATCTCTTGCACAAGGCCCCTGATAATTCAGGAGACCTATGCTGACCAGCAACTAAGGAACCTCAGCCAGCTACTTGTGTGAAAACTTCAGCACATATGGAAGCATTTTTATCAGTGGGGCTTTAGGTTTAACTCTGAACAGCCAAGCAGCTTTGTATTGAACTATTTACCAGAGAGGAAAATCATTCAATTCATACCACATCAAATTCCCACTCCCCCCCACAGAGTGATAAAGAGAAAAACATATAAAACCAAAACACATCTTGCATAGGGAGATTAACTCCTGGTACAGTCCAGAAAAGAAACCAAGCTTCTAAAATTCATCAGGAAGCTTCAATATTGAGAAAAAATAACGTAAAGCTTTAAGTAGGTAAGATTGCAATCACTTCACGGACCCAACAGTACAGTGCTCTGCTCCAAAGGTAATAGTGGCATGCTGGGTTCTCCTTCCCCACAGCCCTGTAAGCACCTGAAGGACCCGTACACAGGTGTCAAGTCCCACTACATCCACCCAAGACCTCTCTCTTCATGCTGTCATGGTCCTTCAAAGGACCTCAGTGGAAGTAAGAACCTGACCCACCCATGTCAACTCAACCAGGCATGAAGGACATGGAAGAGAGGAAAGCCAAGACCGCACATCACCTCGGCAGCCTCAGCACAGCACCCTCCCTGCAGACCCTTACCTTGGCAGGTGTTGTTCTTCTCCTCGTACCCTGCCTTGCACAAGCACTTCCCGATGGGCACCAGCCACTCCCCCTCAGCACTGCAGTGCATCTTCGGCGCCTCGTCGGTCACCGAGTGGTTGACACAGACGCCCGACACCTCCAGCAGCTGCGAGGAATCCGCTCCTGTGATGGTGTCAGGAAAGCGGGCCAGGTTGCGGATCACTGATGGGCATTTCTTGTAGTACACACGCACAGAGACCAGGGCAATGCAGGCACCCACATCCTGGAAAGCAAGGTAAAAGCCCTTTTTTGTTAGGGGCCCGACATCTCTCACTTCTGTGTTTAGCTTCATAACTCTGTCGCCGAGGTCTAACTCTGTGAAACTCTCATCAGCAGCAATGGTATCAATCTTGATGTACTGGTTTTCTTTGATGTTCCTCCCATCCTCATCATCTGATTCGAAGTAATACATGTTAAAAGTCTCTTTGCAAGTCCCAAGTCCTCCTGGAAGGCTGTTACAGTCCCTCAGGGTGAATTTGAGCTCAATGAAGATGCGGGATGCCCCTTCATTAGAGATCCAGCTGGTCAGAAGCCAGTTGTTCTGATTCTGTTCCATTACCTTGCATACTTGGTATGTGTGTATCGGAGCATAGTTTTCATCCACCTCACCAATTTCTTCCCACTGTATAAAAAGGAAAAGTATTACTTTTTTAAGAAGTTACAGCTCCCGCAAAATCTTAGCTTTCCCATCTAAGAGCACCTTGGGCTTCAGAGGTTCAGGAGGGCTTGTTGGGGGAGGCGGGGGGGGGCAGTTTTAAACGGCAAAGTTTTCCATAATGGAGGCTTGCTACATTCCTGATAAAGCCAGATAAAATGTCCTTTAGAAATATAAAAGGATTCTAGTTAAAACCTTTGTTTCAGACATTTCAGAAGTGGGAAAACATACTGCTGGGTTTCTCCACTAGTACTTTGTTAGGGAACAAAATAGAAGCAGATGGGGCCATGAGTTGGCCTTTTCCAATGCATCCACACAGAGGAAAACAAGCTATTTACAGTCCGTCTGTCCCTGCTCCCCCAGGCTCCTTTCTACCACATCCTCAAATCACTGCCCAATGCAATGAGGATGACCACATTTCTCCAAGCTGTTCTCCTCCACCAAACAGCCTGCCAGAAAATCAGCAGTGGTACATGAAATAAATGGGCCTTTGCTCTCCCCAAGCGTGCTAGTCAGAGGGGTTCCTGCTCATGCAAAGAGAAGATTACTTCCAGTAAAGGTTACAAGGATCTGGAAACCTTGAGCTGTTTGTGTGCTACACAGGTTTTTAAGCAGAGCTCCAGATAACTTCTCACAGCTGTTTGTGAGAATAGTAGCAACTGCTTTTTCATTTTATTTTGGCCACACTCTGAAGTGCATCATTTAGAAGAAATGCTTTTTCCTGATCCAGCACACCACAGTCAGTAGCACCACAACAGTGCCTACAATAGAGCTACAACATTAATGTTTCCTCTCTGCTTTTGGCAACTGCAGTGTCACATTAAGAAATTAGATTAGCCCATGTAAGTACATCAAAGAACTCTGAAGAACCAGTCATGGTTCCAGTTTTGTTCCCTTCTACTTTTGACCTGCTCATCTGCAAGGGTTTAATTCCCAAAGCCTCTTCCATCTCTACTCAGCATTGTTGCCCACATCCAGTCACAGCTGCAGACACAGCACAAAGCAAACACAGAGAGCATAATTTAAAGGTGCTCCAGTACAAGGTAATAGCTATATTCCAAGCTGCATATCTTCTAAGGCCAAAGGCCAATTTTTTTTTCATTGGAAATGTGGACTGAGATGAGAGTTGAGAGCCTTCTCAACCCAGACACCCTTACTGCAGAGCTGACAGGGAATACCCTCAGAGTCAACATAATGATGAAGGGTTTTTTAAGCAAAATGCTGTTCTTAAATTTTAAATTAAAATGGCCACAACAAGTGGCATGAAAACATAACCTGATGCTGTAGTCCGAAATGAGTTATAAATACCTCCAGCAGAAAAGCATTTCCTCTCCTCCCTGACCTGGGATGTGGAAGCAGGGACTTACGCCATTTCAGCAAGACAGGCACTCCGCGATGCACAGAGTTCACATGTATCACCAGTCTTCTGAGTGAGGAACCTAACCTGAGGACGTTTTTGTCGTGTTAAGGAGTATCTTCACTTCTAAACCCTTTTTATGTCCCTGGGCTTAAACAGGCTGTGACCTACCATGGTTAACATGTACTTGTCACTTCACCCTTCCTGGTAGGGCCATGGAGTTAGCTGGGGATATGCCTGCAGTGAAAGCTAGGCAGATCTGCGCAGGATTCATGCCTAACTTTGAGGAGATGCAGTTAACAAAGAGTAGAGCCATTGAGAAAACACATAGGAAAAGTATGCAAGTTAGCACAAACCTGCAGCTAGCTTCTCTACGTTCTAGTATATAGGGTGGATTTAGATACACAAAATTAAAAAGCAGAAAAGCACCATTCTTCAACTACTGTGGTTAATTTAAGTGCTAAATATTCTGTACATGTATGCTTCCAAGTGGATTCATTTAACATGACACTATATAAATGCATAGTCTTATGTTTATCATAATGGCAATTCTCCATTTGATGAAAAGGGAGGGCATCCTTCCACTCCTCCTGACCCAGGCAGAGGTCCCTGCCGAATGAACCCCAGGGGACAGGTAAGCACATCCCAATATAACCCAGAAAAGACCTTAATGACTTTAAACCTCTGCTTTTTCTGGCTAAAGGTCAGAGGATCTCTTGAACAATTACACACATCAACCAGCAGATACTGAGAGGTGTTAACCTCCAGCAGGAGGTGGTGAAAAGCATTTGAGGGCTGGAAATTGCTCAGACCAGTTTTAGCAAGTGAGGATGTGTATGGATGGCCACAAGGTACATAGTGTAACTCCATACACCATTTAGGGAGCATCTAATGTGTACTTCTTTCAGAGAACTGACATTTGCAGTGACTGTGATGCGGCAGAATATCATTAGTGACCTAACTTGAAGGCATATGGAAAAACATCACTTCTCTTTTTCAGTACTTGCCAGATCAATTTTCCAAGACCCAACCATCACGCTCTCCAGAGTTGCAAAATGAAGCTCATTTCCACTGCTGCTCTAGGAGTTGTGTTAGTGGGAGCAAGTATAAGAAAGCTCATTCGTTCAAAAACTAAATCCAGTAATTCTAATGGTTGCTTTCACTGACTGCAAGCACTAAACACTGCAAGGAGCAAGGTCCAAGCATAAATACATCAACTGAGCTAGAGCCTAATCTCAGCTGCACGAAGTGGCCCATGACCTAACATCTCAGGCTTCAGGATGTGGTGCATTTCCAGGTCCGCACCCGGGATCAGAGCAAGTCCTGCCATCACCACCTGCCATCAAACCTAAAGCACCTCCCTTTCCTCTTGCTCTCCGATTGCTAATGAGCTAAGGCTGCTTATCTCTGTACAATCCCCAAGGGAAAGCCAACCAGATTTTATCAGATCAGCCACTATTGTGCAAAAACTCTGCTCTGTCATTTAATCCCATCATCTTGTCTCCTCTCTGCATGTAGGAGCGCACCACTTCTTTCTCTTCAGCGAGGTCTGCCTCCCTCCAGAGACTGCACGCAGCCTGCCGCCCTTCTGCTTTTACACCCCTCTGTGAGAAGGGGATGGGGGCAAGAGCCCCTGCACCTTCTGCCTGGTCCCAGCTTCCCAGTCACTATGGGCCTCAGACAAGTATTCCAACCAACAAAGGAATACAAACTAGGGGATGAAATGCAGCGCCTTACAGTTAATGAAAAAGAAAACTCGCCACATTAAAGAGACAGCATCTAGCCAAAAATATTGGCATGAAAAAAATTAAGTACAACTGAAAAATTGTGTAATATTCTAATTTCTCTCTGCAGCACATTGAGACATAAATCAACCCCATCTGCAGGATTAAAACAAAAATGCAACCATTAATTTGGTGCTAAATGTTTTCTCTACATCTTTAATAGCCCTAAGAAGGAAAACACAAATGTATTTCAATGGCCTGATGTTAAATCATTTATAGAAGACCTATTTCTGAAACAGAAATTTCCAGTACACTACTGCTGGCGAGTTAACAGAAGCTCGAGACTGCACTCAGCTCCATCAATAGGAAACATGCAATTCATGCAGGCTGTCTGCCTATGGAAAGGCCAAAGATATCACACATCTAACTAAAAATACAAGAGCTAAAAAAGCATTCAGGGGAGCAGCCTTGGGTTAAACAGACAATTTTAAAACACATTCACCAGCTGCCTGCTACTCAGGCTTGTTTCTAATCTCCAGGATTCCAGGACTGCAATTTGCTACCACAGCACAGTGAAAGGCTGCTGCCCCAAAAACAAACACTGACAGCAGGGATGAAAATTTCACAGCTTTTGTTTATTTGGTTTTGGAGGTTTGGGTGGAGTTTTTTTCCCCCAAGGAGAATTTTTGTTACTGGTCTTCAGTAACTCACTGCCTCCCTTTAGCAGCCACTAAAGGTGGTGTGGAAATTTCAAGCCTCTCTCCTAATTCCACACATCCTAGCACTGCTGAAAAAGAAATTAGGCATTTCGCAAAATCTTAGGAGTTGTAAGGGAGAAAGGGAGCTTGAGAGCACTTAAGCAAAGGGGTTCCTAAGACTCAGCTGGAACCTTCCCAGCAGCACACCCTCCCTCTGCCTCTATTCCCACTACCTATTTCACAGGCTCCCTGGTACAAGAAGCTCATCCTCTTGATACCTTAAGGGTCCAAAAGACCCCAGATGTAAAACCACTTACATGCATAAAATTTAGGCCTTATTGTCTAGCTTGCTCGCTGTGGCTTTGCTAAAGTTAGTATCGTCTAGTTTGCGGTTGCTTTGCTAAAGTCAGTAGTGTCTAGCCTGGATGTTTTTTTCTCTCTTAAAGTCTATAGTATTGTTACTTAGTGAATTTAGAACCCTATTCAAGGACGGGAAGAATCGGGAGGGGATGAAACAAAAGGATAATAACGGTTTGCCAAGGTTGCCAGACTAGAAGGAATGAGAACTAATTGATGCAGAAAGATTTGTGGCTCCTTACGAAGGACAGTTTTTGATAAGAACCAGGTGTTTACCTCAAGAGCTGGTCTACACCCACCCTGTGGTTTGAGCAAGAGCCAAGGAGCAACTGAGTTTGCGCAAGAACAAGGGTTACTAGCGGTGACGAAGAGGAGCCATCGGCCTTCATCCCCATGACCCCCCGAACAACCACCACCAGGAGGCACTGAGCAGGCGCAGTGGGGAGGGACTTATGGAAATGACCTCCTGAAGCTAATTTTAATACAAAGCGGAGACAGGTTATGCATATGTATGGATATATCGGAAAACTTCATACATATGTAATACTTTGCTACATATAAACGGACAAGTTGCCGCTTGATGGGATGCACGTTAGGTGGAGCGATCCCCCGTGCATCCGGCGCCGTGAATAAAGAATGCCTGCCTTCTAACACTACATTGGTGTTACGAGGTTCATTCTTCCCCATTTCGGTGACACTCTCCCATTTCATTTTCCACCCCACCACGTGGAGCTCTGCAACACATGCATGTTAATTCAGATATCTGCTGGCACAAAGATGTAAAATTGGAAAAGGATTTATGCATTTTCACCTTTTTTTCTTTTGGAGAAA